CTCAATCAATATAGAGAAGGGAATTCTGGGAGTGATGTGATCAGGGGAGCACCATTTAGCGCTTTGATCAACATGGCAATTGGATTATCTTAAACTCTTAGCTAAAGTCTCTCCATTTTCATAATCACACAGTTTCATCAAATGGATAATTTGGTATCTCTTCTAAATGGACATATACCACATGCATAATTACCACAGTATCACTGAGAACATCACACAGAATTTACAGCAGCACTGAAACCAATGAAATCCCATGTCAGTAAAGCCTTTTTGCAGTTAGAAACCATTAGACAGAATCTTACATTAGTTTTCTCGCAGGGACCAGAGCTAAAATCTTCTGTGGCTTGGTAATGAGACAATTTCCAACGAAAAGGAAACTCTTTTATAAGAACTTAAAGGCCTGTGTGAGCAGCCCAATGGTGCCTCAGTGATAGCAGGGTTGCTTAAACCAGTCAGAGCCGTCAATCACTCAGCTTTCCACCATTCTACGGCTTTGTGGGAACACGGCTATTGACCCATCTCAAGCTGGCAGCGGTGACAAAGCAGCCAGCGTGGAGCACAAAAGACACTCTCTGGGCTCAGACTCCCACTAATAACCAGTTATTTACACCCTCAGATTGAGACTGGGACTGGCTTCTTTCCAAATTACTGCTGACTAGAAAGGCTCTTTGATGACATCATCGACCCTCTTGCCATACACCAAGTCTACTTTTCAAAGGACAGCAATCTACAAAACAATTCAGAAAGATGTGTTTGCATGTGTGTTTATGCATATTAGCACAGTTTTAGCTTCTGCAATACTAGTAAAGTGCCCTACAAAGACATAACTCCACATAAACAACAAATGAAGGTCAAACATGTTAAGTAATTGAATGTTTCTCACATTAGATTTTGAATAGATCTCTACCATTACGCCACTCCGCTGGGCCTTTATACGGATTGGCTTAAGCAGCCTGGCGATTGTGTTGAGGGCTTTGAAAGGATGTCTTTGAGTGGACTCTGAATAGACACAGGCAAACCACACAGACTGTCTGTGCAGGTAATCTTGCATTTCAAATGAATGCTATGCTGTAGGATGGCTTACAGCATTGCTGTGCTGAGACAATATGCCACAAAGGTGGTCAGGTTAGAGGCTCAGATGATGGGGAACAGATGAAACAGATGTTATTATTTAGAATCCAATTAAAAATCAAGGATTTGAAAGGTAATTATTAAAAAAAACTAGCACACACACCATGAAAAAAAACAACAACTTGAAGCAGATACTAAAGAATAGCCCTCACTTATAAGAGAGTTAATGGAGATAATATCATCTGGCAAACTGGAATGTACTCATTAAATATATAAAATTTTCAAGATCTTATTTAAAATTTCTTATGCAATATTAATCAAAGTTGTTTTAATCGGCCACTGCCAGCTGTGCATCTGAATGTACCTCAAATGTTCAACTTTGCAATGCGTCAATAATATGTGTTAATGTCTGCAAGTATGCCAGAATTAATTTGTAAATGGTTAGAGTAATGTTGAATATTTTTATGACAGGGTGAAAAGTGAACTCAATGTCATATGCAAAACATGTCAAATAGACCAGCCCGGACTCATTAGCATTCACAGATGTATGTTTACACGCATATTTGTATGTTTGGATATGTGCTGCAACATACAAATGATTAGGCATACTGACAATATGGAAAAAAGGTAACACCGTATTTTATAGTGTCCTTGTTACACTTGTTAATTTCTATAGTAATAACAATAAATGTAGTATAATTACAAGAAACTAACCCTAAACCAAACCCTAACCTAAGCACATGTAAATTAGTATTACTCCGTATTTAATTAAATAATTACACTGTATCAAGGACATTCTTGCTCTCTATATATGTTTGTCAGTGTGTGTGTGCCTACATTATAAAAATGTTATTGGCAAATAAATATACAGTGACAATTTTAGTTACTATATACTATCAGGGGCGTAGATTACGCGGGGGACGTGTCTCCCCCCCCCCCAAGACCGGTTTT